AGGGCTGTGGCGGGGGGGCCGGCCGAGGGCCTCCGGCGGCTCCCGGGACCGTGAGCCATGGCGGGGACGGACGCGAGCCTGTTGCGCGAGTGCCCGCTGCTTCTGCCTCAGAACCGAGCGAAAACTGTGTATGAGGGATTCATTTCGGCTCAGGTACCGGTCCGGTTTCGCTCTGTCGTGAGAAAGCCCCTCGTGCGGCGCAGCTCCGGCCGTGGAAGTGCGTGACAGGCGGGACTAGGAGCTGGGACTCGGAGACTGAGCGGCGCCCCTAAAGGCTCCCCGGCGACCAGGGGTTTGGGGGCCGCGGCCGCTGCGGGCCTACCACGCCGGGCCGGGGTCGCCGGCCACTCTTCCGCTGCTGAGTTTGCGCCCTTCTTAGTTTGGAGTCAGCCTGGCGAGGATCTGTCAATGTTTAGTTTGTTTTCCCCCTACCTGTGTCCCCGCTCCGCCCCCAGGAACGTGCGGGGCTGTTCCGTGGGAGAGTGGAGCTGAAGATCGCATTCCCTGTAGGAAGAGCTTTTGGAGGGAAAACCTCATTGGGGGTCCTCTGCCAAGGTGTGTGTACCTGGGCGCAAGTACCGTTGCGGTATTTTGTAGGACATTTTGACAGCTACGCAGTTAATTACCTTTGTTGATTACACACAGTCACACGTGTAAGGTTTTGAAGTTTGCAGAGCGCCTTTCAGGTGCAGTATCTCACTTAATCCTCAACTTTTTGAGACACAAATTTCTAAAAAATCGTTATTCCCATTTTATACTTCAGAAAATCAAGGCGTGAAGGAATTGGTGAGGTTAAGTAACTCGCATCCTTGCTTGTCAGAAATCCTTAAACTTAGTCTGATTCCAATACTGGAGATTTCTGCTCTACATTACACCCAAGGTTCAATTTTATGTACAGATTTTTCCTTCCTGACTATTCACTCAATCCTGTCCCCCCTCACCCCCCCCAGCCCACGTACTCTGAGATAGGGGTCATTTAGGTGTTACCTTACGTTTTGAAGTCTCTTCCAAGCATATAGTAAGCTCTCAAAAATATTGAGTGCATTATCAAATTCACTTGCTAAATGAAACTTTTTCTTTAACCTGTCCTTAAGAGTATTTGAAAGTGTGGAATTAATCAGAATGTTTTGTAATTACTTAAAGACTATAGATAGTACACTCGGGCTTCTCCGTGTGTACTATCAAATTCAATGAGATGATTACAGAAAGTATGATAGAAGTTAAAATTAATTGTTAACAGATGAGAAAAGTTAATCTGCCTTTTCCTTCCCCAATTGGAAATACTGATCTTGAATTACCTAGCTAAAAACATTCCCTTTCAGATGTTTAGAAAGTTAGAGTATTACTAAATTGATACTTTTCAAGAGCTATTTTATCCCTAATTTTAGGCACTTTTATTTACTTTTTCATATGTACTCTATTGGCTAACACCTCTTAGAAAATATGTGTGGCTATCAGAATTGAGATTGGATGGGATTTTCTTATGACCCTTGCTATAGCTACAATTGTAATTTGTTTCTGCTTTAAGCAGTTTATTTACATTTTAACCTAAACAGTTTATCTAATTGTCTAAAAATGTTTTGTATATAATGATGGACTTTTCCCTACTCCAGATGCTTGGGACCAGAAGCAGTGTTTCACTTATCTGATTTTTTTAGATTTTGGAATATTAGCATATATAAGACCGAAATCTAAATAAAAATTAGTTTATGTTTCATGTATTCCTTATACATGTAGCCTGAATGTTGTTTTTTTTGCAATATTTTTTGTATCCTAGTGCTTTGACTGATCTGTCACATAGGGTCAGGTGTGGAATTTTCCCCTAGTGACACCATGTCTGTGCTCAAAGTTTTAAATTTTAGAGCATTTTGGGTTAGGGATGTTCAACCTGTATTTCAGATTTACAGAAAAGTAGCGATGATATGCAAATAATTCCAGTATAGTTTTTGCCTAGATCCACCAGTTTGCATTTGCATTTTTGAATTCCTCAGAGGTATGTGTATGTGGGGGATGGATATAAACATTATTTCTCTGAGCCATGGCAGATTTTCTTTATCTCTAAATATTTCAACATATTTTGCAAAAGAACAAAGACAGTATACGTAAAACCACAATACAGTTACCAAAATTAGGATTCTTAATCATGATACAACACCTTTAATCTAGTGGCCATATTCAAATTCATTTATGGTATGATGATAGATTTTATTCCTCCCCCATTCCCCAAACCTGGACCATCTGGTGTAAGCTTCCATATTACATTTAATTCCTTGTCTTTTCAACCTGGGATAGCTCCTCAGTTGACTTTGTTTTTTATGAACTTGACATTTTGTTTTGTTTGTGTGTCAGAGTACATGTGCACTAGCCAGAGAGAGGAGGAGAGGCAGAAAGCATCCCTCAGTGGGGTGTGGTCATGCTATAATATCACTTCTCCATTTCTTCATCTTGGTGGGACTTTGGTTATAGTCACACATGTACTTGGTGTGTCTTTCAAGCTAACTGGTCTGGGACTCTAACTGCACAGTCAGCCATGTAGAATTTGGCTCCCTTGACAACACTAAGCCATGGGAGGAGCATTAAACCTGACATTTTTTAAGACTTCAGGTAGAATGTCCTTTCAGTTTGTGCTTGACTGATATATTCTCACTTTTAAATTCAGGTTATGCATTTTTGTCATATATCAAAAAGCAAGTTGCATCCTTTTCAGAAAACATGAAATGAGTTGGTGCCATTATTGATGATGTTAATTTGATCACCTGTTAAGATACAATTGCCAGATTTTCCTTTTGTGATTGCTTCAGTCAGTTACTACTGTGATAGTTGATAATTCTTCTCTATTTATGAGTTGGCATTTTATTACAGGAGTAGTAGTTTTTCCTTTCCTGTTTATTTATATCAGAATGGGTTCATAGACTTATAAACTGATTATAAGTTTATTTATTTTATTTTTATTATTATTTTTTTTAATGAGAGGTTTTTGCTATAGGGCGCATGCACTCGCCAGAAAGAGAGAGACAGAGAGCCAGCAAGTGAGAAATCACCCCCCAGGTGGATGGCCACGCCACAATCCCTTCTCCTCCAATCTCCTCTTGGGATGGGATCTTGGGTATGCACGCACATGCACCCGGTGTGAGTTTAAGCCACAGGGTCTGGGACCCGAACCGAGGTCAACTACATGGGAGTCCTGCGACATAGCCATTACGCCAACTGCTGGTCCCACACCCAGGAGTTGTTTAATAGAAAGTTAAAAAAAAACTTCTTATGGAAGGTCCTTTTTGATTTTTATTTTGTTAATTTATAGTTTTATTTGTGATTGGATAGTATTATTTATAAAAAGTAAATCTACTCTGAAATTTGATTATTTTCTTTTTAAAAAATTTTATTTTTATTTATTTACTTATTTATTTACTTTTTAAACTTGACCAGAGAGGGACAGAGCGAGAGAGACAGATAGAGACAGAAAGTGAGAAAGCAAGCTGCCAGGTCCCGGATTCAAACCAAGGTCAGCCATGAGGGAGTCCAGCACCCTTAACCACCACACCACTTGCCGACACCTCTATTGATTATTTTCTGTGATTTAATATATAACGTTTTTCTCTGTGAATGATGCATTTGTGATTAAGAGATGGTATATTCTTTATTACCAATTACTGTTTTCCTTTTGAGTGTAGTTTATGTCCTTTATGAAATTTGTTCATTTTGTCTAGCCCTTTGACTTTATTAACTTGAAGTTATTTATAATAATCCAATACTATCCTCTCAGTGTCTCTAAATTCTGTTATGATGCCCCTTATATTTCTTATCTTTTACTGTGTAACTAATTATTCTGACCCTTAGTGGCTTAAAACAGCATGTGTTTATTATCTCACTGTTTCTATGGGTCAGGAATTTGGGAGCAATTTAGCTGGTGATTCTTGATCAGCCTTGCCAAGATTTCAGCTATCTAAAAGCTTGACTAGAAAAGGAGGGTTTGCTTCCATAGTTGCTCATTCACAAAGCTATTGGTAAAGGGTCTCAATTCATCACTACATGGAGCATCTTAACATGATAGCTAGTTTCCCTTAATGAGTGATATGACAAAGAGATCAAGCCCAGAGTTCACAGTTTTATCTCTTAGTTTCTGAAATAGCATGAATTTACTTCTGTTCTGTTTGTTAGAAGCATGTCTAAGTCCAGCCTATAGTCAAAAGGAGAGGTACCAGGCCCTAATAAAAGTTTCACATAGTTTATGGACATGTACTAAAAATACCACCTGTCCCCGTTTCTTATGTTGGTAATTTGTGTCTTTTCTATCTCTCTCCTTTGTTTTTTTTTTTTTTTTTTTGTGTGTGTGTGTGTGTGTGTGCGTGTTTTGTTGTTGTTGTTATTGTTTGTTTCCTTGGCATATCTTGATGCATTTTGTTGATATCTGCCATCTCTGCTTTTGATTTCATTGATTTTTTTTTCCTCTATTTCTCTATTTCTATAGAATCAATTTTTTTTTTTTTGAGAGGTTTTCGCTATAGGGCGCGTGCGCTCACCAGACAGACAGAGAGGCAGAGAGACAGAAAGCGAGGAATCACCCCCCAGAGGGGATGGTCATGCCACAATCCCTTCTCCTCCATTCTCCTAATGGGATCTTGGGCACGCACGCACACACGCCTGGTGTGAGTTTTAAGCCACCGGGTCCGGGACGCGGTGAACCGTGGTCGACTACTGGGAGTCCAGTGACAGCCATTACGCTAACTGCTGGTTCCCTAGAATCAATTTTTGATAACTAACTTTACTAGTTTCTTTAGGTGGACAAGTAGAACACTGATGAAGTCTTTCTTTTCTTAAATAAAGGATTGTTGGAAAAGTCATGATACATTTTTGCATAGAAAACCAGAAAAAATACGTCATGACTTTTCTGATGACCCAATAGATAGTGCTTTAAATTTTTCTCTAAACATTTTTAACTGTATTACACAGTTTTTGGTATGCTGTATGTTCTAGTCTTTCCATTGCTGATAACAGAAAATACTTATTCAATCTGAGTAATTTAAGGGAATAAAGATATACTCAGCTCTTGGTTTGGAGGTTCAGGGTCCAGGGACCACCTTACATTATGAGAGAGATAGCACAGAAGAATGGATATGTCCATCAGTCTCTGTTCTGATCTCCTTTCCCCTCCCTATAAGCCCACCAGGACTGAAGTCATAGGAGTCCCATGCTAATAATCATTCATAAAGGCCCTACCTTTTCATACCTTGAAGGTACTAAGTTTCCTTGTTATACCTTCACAACTAAAAAGTCCACACATGTATTCTCAGGGGGACACAAACCATAGCATTGTATATAGTTTCATTTTTATTTAGTTTAATATATTTTAATTTCTTTTTTGCCCAGGGCTTACTTAGAAGTATGATTTATCTTTATCTTTCCAAGTATTTGGGAGATTTTTCCAAATATCTTTTTGTCACTGATTTATAATTTCATTTCACTTCATATTGGTTATAGGATATTACTTGTTTAATTTGAGCTCCTACATTTACAGAGACTTATTTTATGACCTAGAACATGGGATCTTAGCAAAT